GAGGTTAGTGTCCATGCTTTTCTGGCATATATTAGAGCAAGTAGCACACACTACCTACTATACAGTGAATATTATTGGACCTATATTTACACAGGATTATACTACAAATTTTGCTCTTTCTAGCTTATCTTTTTTTTAAAAAAAAAGATCATTGATATGATCTCTCAATTTTGGATTGGCAAATTCCTTCCTTTCCTTCCTTCCTCCCTCCCTCCCTCCCTTCTTCCTTCCTTCCTTCCACATTGGAATAGATTAAATCTCTTAAATATGTTGCATTCAAAATTTGGGCTTTTCTTAACAATTAAGAGTTTAATATATTAGGGTTGTTTTATTGGTTAAATAAGGATAAAATGTTTAGATTAGGCAGAAAATTTTGTTTACTTTTTACTGTGATTTATGATTCATATTATATTGGTTATTTTATTATCTATTAAATACTGGGTTTTAATAACGTTAGGGAGTCTTAAAATGCAGTAATGCACTAATTTAATAGTACTTCATTTTATAATTTATGATGTTGCTTGCTAATCTTTCTTAATTTTTTTACTTGCTTTTCTTTATATTTTTAAATAACTACTAAAATAAAATAATCAAGTAAATTAACATACAGTAGCAATGGATCTTGCAAAGTCCATGCATTTGGGATTATCCCAGTGCCTCCTGGGACATTGTTTATTTACTCAATCTGAGTAAATAATACTTCTCCCTATCATGATGCCACACTAATCTGTCAATAAAAATAAACTTCCCAGATGTTACTAAGCCCCAGCTGCTATTTTAGAAAACATTCCTAGTCCACAAAGTTGCTTGAAGAATTGCTACAGCTGTTGGAAAAGGGGATATGTAGCAATAGCAATAGCAGTTAGACTTACATACCGCTTCATAGGGCTTTCAGCCCTCTCTAAGCGGTTTACAGAGTCAGCATATTGCCCCCAACANCGGCCATGTGACTGGGTGGGAGTGGCTTGCCGGCCATGTGACTGGGTGGGAGTGGCTTGCTGGCCATGTGACTGGGGGGGAGAGGCTTACCAGCCATGTGACCGAATGGGAGTGGCTTGGCAGTCATGTGACTGGGTGGGTGTGGCCAACTTGTAAAATGTGGTGAAACTCACTTAACAACGCTCTTGCTTAGCAACCAAAATATTGGCTCCGGAACTCTGGCATTGAAGTGTGCAAGTCTTAAAGCTGTCAAGTTTGAACACCCCTGGGTTTTTTTTTCCTAAAGGGTTTAGGAGTGCAAGGGTCTTGTAACTTGACAGCTTTAAGACTTGCACACTTCAATGCCAGAGTTCCGGAGCCAATATTTTGGTTGCTAAGCAAGAGCGTTGTTAAGTAAGTTTCACCACATTTTACAAGTTGGCAATGCCCACACAGTCACATGGCTGGTAAGCCACTCCCACCCAGTCACATGGCCAGCAAGCCACTCCCACAAAGCAGGCCACACCTACAGAAGAGGTTCTAAAAAAATTTGAAACCCACCACAGCTTTTAGCCAGTATAAACACAGCAACTCAGGCCTATTTTAAACATACGTTTTTAAATCGTTGATTTGCAACCCATCACACTGATAATCTTGTATTTCCTTGTTGGTGGATTATAAAAACAGTTTTCTGTGTAGGGAGAACTTGCCTCCGGAGGGTTGCTGAACACATTCCTACTTTGCAAACCTGTCTTAAAGTGTTTGGAGGCTGAATTACTCAAGGGTTCTGCTCCAAAAGTCAAAACAAAACAGCTTGAGAGTCACCAATGGGATAGAAATTCAGATATTCACAAATATCTGAACAAGCCTTAGCTTGAGAAGGGAGAGTATGTCAGAATATTCATGAACGGGAATAGGACATAGCAACAGGTCAGCCATTGGGGACTGGCTGAAATAGCATATGGTAACAACGTCAGCCAATGTATAGGCATTGCAACTGGGTCAGCTAATGGGAACTATTTGGTGACTGAGAGCCCTGCCAGACAGCTGGGAACCTGGGCGTGGCTTACCTATGTAGCTCTGAGTCTGTGCAACAGAACTAATCTGCTAAGAATTGAGACTGAAACTAGACTGCTGAACTGAAACTGCTTCTCTCCCCTGCCTGTGTTTTTTGCCTGTAACTCTCTACCACTTCGTTGGAAAAATCTGCTATTGGTATTGTGCATTTATTCATGTGTTATTATGTATATAAAGAAGTTAATGAATCCTGATGAATCAGTTATCTTTGTGTGCTTTCTGGATGTGATTTTTTCAACAAACAGGAAGAATCCTTAATTCTTGATCACTGGAATAACTCTGAATACAAGTAATCCTCAGGCCATTGAAAGTTTCAATGGCATTGAAAAAGTGACTTATTTTTTCACCTTTTCACACTTATGATCATCACAGCATTCCCATGGTCACGGGATCAAAATACAAGCCCTTGACCACTGACTCATGTTTATGACGGTCCAGGGGTTACGCGATCAACTTTTGAAACCTTCTGACAAGCAAAGTCAACAGGGGAGCCAGATCAACTTAACAACCCTGTTACTAACTGCTCCAGTGATTTGCTTAACAACAGTGGCAAGAGAGGTTGTAAAATGGCACAAAAACTCATTTAACAGCTGTCTCGTGTAGCAACCAAAATTTGGGCTCCATTGTGGTCATAAGTTGAGGACTCCCTGTATTGGGGGAATGTAGCTAAGAAGAACATTGGTGTTCATATTTAAGTATTGGTGTCTCTTCCCTGGACCATCCAGGGAGGTTCTGCATTATTGGATTGTCACAGTTCAGTGGGCAGAATGATGATGATGATGTGGCAGGCCTAGAAGCGGAGAGGTGGAATGAAACAATTCAGCTTTAATAGGATGAAGATGGAAACTCTCAGAAACTCTGCACTTTGTGTGAAGATGCCTTCTTAGGGATGCTCAGGCTGTTTGTGAATGAAAGAGAATTGCATGTTGGTTTTTAAGGTTCAGCCACGTGGAATCCAAGTCGGTGTCTTGAATATCAACAGCACCAATCAACCGGGCTTGCCTCCAGAAATTGTGGGTGCTCCATCACTGGAGGCTTTCAAGAAGAGACTGGGCAGCCATTTGTCTGAAGTGATATAGGTCTGTGATGGCGAACCTATAGCACGCGGGCCACAGGTTGCACACAGAGCCATTTCTGACGGCATGCGAGGTGTTGCCCTGCCAGCTCCAGTGCACATGCGCATGCTGGCCAGCTGATTTTCAGCCTTGATTTTCGGCCATTTTTCGCCCTCCGGAGGCTTCCCTGATGCCTCCGGAGGGTGAAAAACAACCCAACGCGCAAACCGGAAGTTTGGGAATGGACTTCCGGTTTGCGCACTGGCTTTTTTTCTCCTTCCAGAGACTTCAGTGAAGCCTCCTCAAGCCTCCAGAGGGAGAAAAATGGCCCAACAGGCAACCCGGAAGTCCATTCCCAAACTTCCAGTTTGCGTGTTGAGCTGTTTTTTACCCTCCCCAGGCTCCTAGAAAGCCTCTGGAGCCTGGGGAGGGGGAAACAGACCTACTGAGCCCACCAGAAGTCAGAAAATGGGCCATTTCCAGCCTCCGGGAGAGTGGGGAGGCTATTTTCACCCTCCCCAGGCTCCAGGAAAGCCTGTGTGCATGCGCGGGGCAGCAGGGGTGTGTGCGTAGGGGGCATTAAATTATGGGTGTGGGCATGCATGCATGTGCAATAGCATGCATGTGTGTGTGCTTTTGGCACCTGAGGCGAAAAAGGTTTGCCATCTCTGGTATAGGGTTTCCTGCTTGAGCAGGGGGCTTGTCTAGAAGATCTCCAAGGTCCAACTGTGTTATTCTCTATAAAAGAGCTGTTTGTGGTTTTAGGCTGGAGGACCTGGTAGTTCTGAGGTTTTTACAGATTTACAAAGTTGGAAGGGACCTTGTAGGTCATCTAGTCCAAACCCCCACCCACCCAAGCAAGAGACCCAACACCATTTCTGACAGATGACAGCCCAATCTCTTCTTGAAAGCCTCCGGTGATGGAAGCCACCACAACTTCCAGTATCTTCCCGGGTATTGATGTTAGGCTGATTGGTCTGTAGTTTCCTGGGTCTGTTTCCCCCCCCCTTTTTGAAGATGGGAATCACATCACCTCTTTTTCAGTCCTCTGGTAGTTCCCTGGTACTCCAGGATTTTTGAAAGATGTGGTGCAGTGTTTCTGACATCTTCCAGCTCCTTTAGAACTCTGAAAATAAACTGGTAGACAATTTTCCATACCTCTCAATGGAGAATACAATTTTAGGGGTGAAATGTAGAGGTTAAAGAGCAACCTAACGGGAAATCCATTCATACTCCTGCACCATTTGGAGAGTGTGTTCATCCCAAATTGGATAGCTAAATGTTATGGCGATTCGCAGTCCTCCAGGTCATGGTTGTCCCAAAGGTGCTTTTTCAAGAGGCAACTGGATTTTCTGTTTTTTTGTTTGAAGACATTTCGTTTCTCATGCAAGAAGCTTCTTAGCTCTGACTGGTTGGTGGAGAATGGAAGGACTTATATTCCTTGCAGACAGCTGGTCATTTGCATCCTTTTAGAGGGTCCCTGAGGCCACTTGGAAGTTTATCTGTGTCCACAGGATCACCTGAGTGGTGCAAATGGTTCCTGTAGTCTGCAATTTTTCCTCTGGAAATCCATTCAGACTCCCACACCATTCAAGGGGGGGGGGGTCTATCCCAAGGTATATGGCTAAAAGTTTAAAATGTTTAATTATGGGACAACACTGACCTGGATGACTCAGAATCTCCATAGCTTTTTCTGCAAAGGCTGATCCTGGGACAACTGCAACCCTCAAAAACACGAGTAAGTTGCCAAATGTCTAAATTTTGATTACATGCCCATGAGGATGCCCCAACAGTTGTAAGTGCGAAAAATGATTATACGTCATTTTTCTCAGTCCTGTTGTCACTAAACAAATTATTGTAAGTTGAGGACTACCTGCAGTAAATGGGCTTATTTGTCCTATTTTACTTTCATTCCCTTTTTTTGCTAACATGCCTCTTTCTCTCCTGCAGACTGCCAAGAGCTGCTTCTGCCCGACCCAATGGCCTACACCATCAGCCCCACCCCGTCTGTGCCAGTGGGAACCCCAAATTGTGTTTGCAGAGTGGAACTGTCCGTGTGTGGTCAAAACCTTTTGGACAGAGATGTGACTTCAAAATCGGATCCTTTTTGTGTCTTATTTATGGAAATCAATGAAAAATGGACAGAGGTAAGACCCAAAGATTGTCCCGAGTCTTTCTAACTTGGGCTTGAAAGTCTTAATTCTTACAGGTAGGGGATGCAGTGACCAGGTGGGTCAGCAATGGAGCTGAGGCTGGAGATGCAGAAAGCTGAGGCAGGGTCCTGTTTATAGGATGCCTTCTTTCCAAAGGGATAGACAGTTTTGGCTTTTGGGGACTGTGTCCATAGAAACATGCCTTTGACGTCTAGTGTCCGATAGGTATTCCTTTTCATGTACCCAAAGGGATGTCAAAGAGAAGAAGGATGGAATAGAATGAAATATAATGCAGAATGGAATAAGAATGAGATGGAATGGAATGGAACAGAAATAAGAATAGAGTAGAGGTGAGTAGAGTAGAATAAAATAATTATAGAATAGAATAGAATAAGAATAGTATAGAGTAGAGTAGAGTAGAGTAGAGTAGAGTAGAGTAGAGTAGAGTAGAATAATAATAGAATAGAATAGAATAGAATAAGGGTAGGGTAGAGTAGAGTAGAGTAGAGTAGAATAATAATAGAATAGAATAAGGGTAGGGTAGGGTAGAGTAGAGTAGAGTAGAGTAGAGTAGAATAATAATAGAATAGAATAAGGGTAGGGTAGGGTAGAGTAGAGTAGAGTAGAGTAGAGTAGAATAATAATAGAATAGAATAAGGGTAGGGTAGGGTAGAGTAGAGTAGAGTAGAGTAGAGTAGAATAATAATAGAATAGAATAAGGGTAGGGTAGGGTAGAGTAGAGTAGAGTAGAGTAGAGTAGAATAATAATAGAATAGA